GTAGTAAAGGCGAGCACTGTGGAGTCTGGGAACTCGAAACCAATTGTAACAGTTCGATTTCTGTATCTGAAAGTGAAATACTGAAATGCTATGAGATGGGATGGAAAGATGTCCAAGACATAGGAATTAGTAAATGCTAGCAGTGCGGAGTGTGGGAAATGTTGTTGGCAATTAGATTAATGTATTTAAAATACTAAAATGCAATGGAAAGAGATGACAACATGTCCACGACGTAGGAAGTAGTAAAGTTTAGCATCGCAGAGTGTAGGAACCGTTTGTGGCAGTTAGATTAATGCATCTCTAATACTTAAATGCTATGAGAAGGGAGGGAAACAATGACGTAGGAAATGGTGAAGGTAGTAGTAAAGGCTGGCATCGCAGAGTGGGGGAATGATTTTCCCCGAGCAAAGCTCGGTCTCCAGGTACTGTTATTTAAATTGGGAATAAATGCGATATTTTTAAGGAGACATTTTAGTGTAAATCCAGTCAGGCAAATGGAAATTCGCTTAGTCTCCAGGTTTGCTGCGGTGGGGTATTTTAATATTAACCCTACGTTTCTACAATACAGAACCCTTACTAATATACCAATCCGTTTACTAGATTAACACTATAATTAGTCCTATTTGTAAACAGTTTGGTGTTTATCCTAGACCTACTGTAATTAATGTTGTGATTAATCAATAAAGTATAGTCAGTTGTCATTACGATCGTAATTCAACGTTTACAGTCCTGTGAATTTCAAACTCAAACCTCCCTAGCGGCTGTTCATTTCTAGATCCAGACAGTCTCATCAGATAGTCTTAGTTTGCTTATGACGCGTGCAAACCTTGTTAATTTTGCATCGTTTGGGTCAAGGCTAAGGGTGAGAAGTCGATGAATCATGTTTCAGTTTGATTGTGATATTGCGTTGCTAATAACTCATCTGTTGTGGTTATTAGTTTAGAACTTTCACCGTTGAGTAAAATAATAATCAACTTAATTACTTAATTATGACTTAATTATGTATCCTTATAATTTATAAGGATGGTTATAAGGATGTTTAAGTGTTTACCTAGCCACCATGTTAAACTTCCCTATCCCAAGCGTGATGTATACAACTTCATTACTTCACGAGTGGTGTAAAGTTGAAAAAACTCACTCGGTGAGGTAATGAAACCCATTTAAATAACATTGAGTGCTTAACTTAAAAAATATACCTCTATGGAGCCAACGACGTTCAACGCTAGAAATCAGCTGAGCGCTTGAATTTTATTGTTATGCTTTGAAGAATTTTCCTAACCTAGCTTTACTGACGTTACTGTTAGAAGATGAGTGAAATGGATAATGAAAAATATTGTTCGTAACATTCTGTATTTTGTTGGGTCAGGTAAAATCTTGTAAGTTACACGTTACGTAAGAGCTTGTTTACATCACTTAGGAGAATTATGCGATTCGCTTCCGCTCGTTGCACAACATTCACCTGCGTGATGTAAAAACGCTCTTACTACACTTGTAAGGTAAATAGCTATTACCTAACCCGCCATGTTAAACCTCCCTATCCCAAGCGTGATGTATACAACTTCCTTACTTCTCGAGTGATGTAAAGTATCAAAAACTCACTCGGTGATGTAATGAAACCCATTTAAATAACATTGAGTGATTAACTTAAAAAATATACCTCTATGGAGCCAACGACGTTCAACGCTAGAAATCAGCTGTGCTCTTGAATTTTATTGTTATGTTTTGATGAATTTTCCTAACCTAGCTTTTGTTTGTAAATAAATGAACGTTACTGTTAGAAGATGAGTGAAATGGATAATGATTAATATTGTTCGTAACCTCCTGTATATTGTCGGGTCAGGTAAAATCTTGTACGTTACACGTTACGCAAGAGCGTGTTTACATCACTTAGGTAAATTATGCAACTCGCTTCCGCTCGTTGCACAACCTTCACCTGCGTGATGTAAAAACGCTCTTACTACACTTGTAAGGTAAATAGCTATTACGTGGTTCAAGTTTAGCTATGTTTTACAATTGGTAAATTCATTGTACATAGAAATGTTGTAAGGGCGAATTTTTAACCAAGCAAATTTTAACAAAAAAGTAAAATCAAAATATCGTTTTCTATATGCATGACCCTGGAGTTCCGAAGGTGTATTGCATTTAAACCTTTATTTAGCCTTTGCAATTGACTACCATACTACAGTAATAGGAAATCGCGACATAATTGCTAGGTCTCAACCAGGGTTCTTTCAATTTAGAAATTTTGAGAAAATTACAGATTCAAAATGCATGGTTGATTTTGTAGTTTTTTCTAATCTTGTTCTGACCATTGCCGCTATATTATAATTTATACTTTCCTTCCTAAGAGTTTTAACATTAACACTGTTAGTGATTTATTGGAAAATCGTAGGCAACGTTGATTGCTCCAGCAATAAAACTTCCTTTATCATCACTTTGTGCTTCACCTAGCCTGCGCCGAGGCTTGTTCAGACTTAAAAAGCCTTACATGCAAGTTAGGTTAGGTGTTCTGAAAGCGTTGTAATTAGGTTACCTCTGTACGAGTCTCTTTCAGCAATTTAATTTCAGACCACTGCTCTAGTGACTAACCGTGTTCAGTCGTCATTTTTGCAGTGTGTTTTGTTATATCTAGATGAACCGAAGATTTTAATTGTGTAAACTAAAAAAAACATTTAAATTCTAGACTACAGTATAACATAATGTTTTAAAATTTCTGAAACAGTTCAATACTGAATTTAATTACCATTGCTGAACTTGAATACAAAACCAATAGTAAGAACTAGAAGTTTAAACACACACGGAGAAGAGATGAGAGGTTTGTTAAGGGAAATAAAATCAACAAGATTCATTACTAGTTCCACATTATTTGCTTTATGCATGAACTATTCTCTTCTTAAAGTATGTTCAGAAACTACATGGAATTTCCAAATGTATTTATTCTTTACGAGGGTTCACGTTTTGCGCATTTTAATTGTGTTCAAAGTTGGTCTCTGAAGCAAAACTAGTTAATGCAACGACATTATCGATTATTCAGTGGTTTACTTGGAATTATACAGAATTAGCCAATTTAAATTCCGTTTTCACAAACTTTGTTGTCTTTTGTTTTCAATCTGACTGTGATGGCTAAACATTCAACTGTTAAAACCTATCTATCTATACGCTCACTAGCTGAATTAGTTATGAATTAGTGGAGATATAGTATTCTCTATTACATCCCTTTTCAAACCGTCCTACTTAACTGATTTTTACGATTGAGATGTCATTTTAAAGCTTTATGACCTAGCGGGGAGACGTATTGTAACTAAAAGGGTGATTTCCTTTAAGGCTTTGTCCTCCTTTCGATTGATTTGTAACTAATTAAAGTTTACTTTCAAAGATTCAGCAATTTTGACCAACCTTCTTTAAGATTTTAATGTGAATTGTAATTTAACAGCTGATCGTCTCGTTGAATGTTATGAATATTAAACCGCAGTCAGAATATAAACAAGAGACAAAGCTGTTTATAAAGCTGGACTTTTAATACTTTTTGGTAATTAATTGTAACGTGATTGAGGAATGCAAACGATTCTTTATAGTGTAGACCTAACAACAACAATAGTTAGCCTATTTGTGTAACTAGTGTGCGAAGTAGCACTTTGCTGCACATAAGAGAAAATGTTTACGCATGAGCAGCAGGTGAGTGTGGAAAGTTTCTCAAATGCAGCAAAGGCATTTTGCACACGTTTTACACATGATATGTTTTCTACAGTTTGGTACTATAAAGCATAGAAATAATTATTCTTTCAAGACTCTAAACAACTCGTTTTAGATTAGGTTAAATCCAAGCATTTACCCATAGATAAAACATCCTTCTTAGGTTGAACGAAAAGGGAAACACCAGCTGATCGCAATCTTGGTATATTTGAGTGTTGCCAACTTATTTTCAAACGTAGGCCTACACGTATTACGAGCCTAATAAAAGCACACAGTTTTGTGTTGTTTATTGGAATACTGGAGTGTGGAAAAATGAGTGCGGAAAAATTAAAAAGAGTGTGGCAAAAGTAAGTAAATGCAGCAATCCCCAGCTACTATCCGTGCTATAATCAGTACAAGAAAGCCCGCTTTGACAGGTAACTGTAGGAAAATAATTTATAGTAAAATAGTTGTTTTATTCAACTTATGTCTTACAGTAAACAACAATCATTATATTTGGAAATTAATAGGGTAGCCTATTGTCTTATTCGATTTGCCTCAGAAGCCAATTTTGAACCAAATAGAAATGCACAATTTTCGCACGGGTCTCTTCCTTCACATTGAAACCTTTATTAAGATAGTGAATCTTTGAAATCAAGTTCTATAAATAAATAAAACGCAAGAGGGGCGAAGCCCTAATGATAGTTAACTTTGTAGTTACCATTCGTCCCTGTGCTAGATCATAAGTGTTTCAAAATGACACCTCAATAGTAAAAATCGGTTAAGTAGGACGGCTGGAAAAAGGAATGTAACAGGTAAAGCCCTTATTGGGTTAAGTATATAGAATTCACATAACCTTACTCTATAATAGAAATGTTTACGTAAATCTATGAAATTTTCATTCGAAAAATTGAATAATATAAGACTTTACAAAGGAACAGATACAACGACATTTTTATTTTAATATTGAAGGACCAAAATTAGTAAAAACTAACAAAACATTGTTACATTTCGTAGCTGTTAAACAAAACATATAAATATATCATTTTGGTATCATTTTGTGCTACATACACCAAACATATAAATCTGACAATGTGTCTGCTTTTAGGAACCTGAAAATGTCCAATTTATGCTCTAGAAAAGTGTATACATTTGAAGGTTATGAGAATCAAACCTTCTTCATTGCCAGAGTTAGTTGAACTGTGTAACTTTTGACGACAGAAACTGACTGAAAAATTTGATTATTTACTGAGGCTGACAGCTTAATTGGGATCTGCCATGTTGTTATACTCGTAAACAGCCATCAGTATAAATGTGGCCGAGTTTCAACCATGGTTTGGTTAGCGGTGCTCTTATTTATTGTTGGTAATGTTGTTTAACTTATTATTAAATTAGTTCGGCACTTAAATAGAGGTTGCACTGAAACTCTTTTTTAGAGATTGGATGGTATTTGTTGTTGATATTTCGTATTTAGACGTACTGTAATAAAATCACAAAATAGGCAGGTAGGGCCTACTTTGGTAGCTTTTGGCATCCCGTTATTCTACTATGTCGGCTAAGAATTGTTGTCAATTTGTTTCTACACGAAAATACTATATTTTGCTAAGTCCTTAATCACTTGTAGTACAGTTAAAATGTAACTCAATAAGCACTAACCAATTATAGTACAAGATGTGCTAATTGGTCTATCGTAATAGAAGTGAGTAAACAATCTTTTAAAGTTTATATATAGATTCGAATAATGTCCACAATGCTCATCAAAATAAACAAATTAATTTCGTATTTTTCGTAACAAATAACTGAAATAATATGGTTTGGTATGGTTACACTGTCCCTATACTAAAACCACTTTACAGCCTGAATATACGATTAAAGTGTAGAGGTTTGCATACGATTTATCTTTTTCCTACAGTTACCTAACAATGTACATGTTCTCTCACTGATTTGAGAAAGCAAAGTGGCCAATTCGCTCATCAGTAAGACAATGTTAACATTGTCTCACTCTAATTACTTTGTCTCACTCCAGATTTTCAACGTGAAGGCACGAAATAGTGAGCGCGTAACATGCAGGCAACGTCGTATGCGCGATAAATATGTTGGCAGCACTGGCTGTAAATCAGCTGGTCAGCTGTTGTACTGTTGTATTTGTCACTTCACATTAAATGTTATATTAAAAGTTCACTTCTGTGTAAAAATAGGTTATGTTTCTTCACCAATTTATTTGTTTTATGGTAACTGTAGGAAAAGTATAATGTGCAACTCGAGTTCAAAGTACAATTGCCTCACTCGAGAAACCATTCCTCACTCGCCCACGGCTCGTGAGTAAGAATTTCTCTCGAGTGAGTCAATTGCTTACTTTTCTCACTAGTTGCACAAATAACTATTTTTTTTATATAGTCATTTAAGTTAAATTTTCTTTTTCTCACAATCTCAATCTTGTATACAAGGAATAAATTAGCTACTCAAATCTCAACTCTGCATAACCAAAATTCGGACATGAGATTTGTGTAGTTTTAGAAGTAATATAATTAAGTTAGGCAATATATCTACACGTTTGAAAAATACATAATTGATTAGCAAACGTATCAGTAGTATGAGTAGACAAGAAGCTCTAGAAATAACTAAACCATAGGTACTTCATTCGGTCGTTATGGCGATGGCAAACTACATTAAGCTCCTTGTGTACATTAACGTTAACCAATTAGGACTCACAGTATGGATCCATTTAATTAAAAAATGTTGACCTCTACAATATTGTTATTAGCAAATCTAGAATATTGTTGATAAATACAGTGCAGAGCTGTACAACGAATAAATAAAAACCTTATAGGAATGTAATTTTGAATTTAAAAAATGAATACCGGTAAGTTATATTTTATTGGTTATCGTTCTCTACAAATATTGAAGAAAAAATTTGATATTGTGTATTGTAGCACGATGACTCGAACAAAAATCATCTGGTTGTGATGAAATTTGGTGCAAAACATAGTTTGCTTGTCAATGAATATATTTCGATCAAATTTAAAAAAATATATATTTACTTCTTACTAATCTGTTACGTGTATTAGGCTACTAAACATAGATTTTATGAATAAATCACCCTTGTTCCTAACTTCCCTATCTTGTTGTGTAACTTATTTACGTCTGCTATACAATGTAAACAAATTATACTAAAGCAATAAATACATAAATAATCCTTATATATAATACGTGAAGACGATTTATACGAAACCCTACTCCTCCGTTAATAATGGACGGATTTTTACAAACGAGGTTGGGGTGTTGTGTAGACGCCCCCTTTCACCAATTCCTGTAATAAAAGTCTTCGGGCTTTGCCCCACAGGCCTTCAAAATCCCAATGTATTTCTTTTGAAGAAAATATTTTGTTTACAGACGAATAATTTGTTTGGAGTCGAGTGATTGATTACATTATCTTTGAGTTGAAGTCTTCGGAAATTATGACTGTTATTCGTTTTGAAATAACACCTGGAATACTTTGCAATTGCTCGAGTTCGAGCAACAGGTGCACTAGTATTTATTTATTATTTGTATTACTAGCTGCTGCTGTATACCCGTGCTTTGCAACGGGGAGTGGACGCGAAAGTGAACAATTTTTTTTGAGCCACCTGACAAAGTGGACCTTACACTACACTAACTGTGTAGTATAGAAAGTTGCTAATTGTTGCATTTACTTACTTTTTCCGCACTCTTGTTTTTGCCGAGCACCAGTCAGTATTCCAACGAAACAACACAAAACAGCGTGCTTTTATTATGCACGTAATCCGTGTACGCTTTGAAATAGGTTGGCAACACTTAAAGATACTTCTTGATCTAGCGATCAGCTGATACAGTTGTTTCCCATTTTGATCAACGCTTGGATTTGGATTTAACCTAACCTAAAACGTGTTGTTTACTGTTTGAAAGACTAATTATTTCTATGCTTTATAGTAACTGTAGGAAAAATATAATGTGCAACACGAGGTTTTAAATTTAACATTTATGAGCTGCCCACAAAATTTCCCATTTTAAGCTGGGTTTTCCTAGGCGCGGAAGCGGAGAGCGGAGAGAGGAGCGGAGAGAGGAGCGGAGAGCGGAATTGAAATTAACATGGCAGTCCGCTCCGCTTCTAGGAAAACAGTAACATTAAATTGCCTAAGACAAGTGGAGTCCGCTCTCCGCGTTCCTCTCTCCGCTCGCCGATTCCGCGCCTAGGAAAACCCAGCTTTAAGGTTCCATACAAAATTGGGATACCAAAAACAAGTGTACCTACTTTTATGATAGAGGTGTGCAGAGATTGGTTTTTTTTGTGTACCCCATTAAAAAGTTAATAGGGGTATCCATAATAATTATGCCCAACCCTGTATGATTATGGTGCAATACAATATTTTTAGGTATGTTAAAAAATTTTTCAAATTAATGTTTTAATTATTTTTCTAGGCTCCGCTGTGGCAGGGAATACTCATGATGACATAAAAATACGTCTGTAGTAAGTTTGTAGGATAGTAAAGAAATAATATTGGTCACAAAAAAAACTATAAGGGTACAGTCATCGATTATGTGTGGTGTGATGCAATAAAAAAAATTAATGTTTGAAACATTGAAATATTCTTTATAGGCTAAAATGCATGCATTCCCAATAATTTGGGTTTCACATACATAATAAATTTAATTTGAATTCCAAATAGCAATGAAGGATAAGACCTTTTTTACCTGTTACACAACAAACTGATAAAATCAACAATGTTAATAGTTGTGAAATTTAATTGACTACCGAAAGTAAATTAAAATATGTCTAGTTGAAATAAACAGTATTAATGCCGCAGGGAGTCACAGTTAAGTCAATAACATATTTTTGTTTAATATTCATTAATGATAATATCATCAAAGTTTTGATGATTATAACCTTTATGTAATATGCTGAGATTATTTTGGTAAAATTAGTTGTAGGAGGTCAAAGACATTTTAACCCTGTATTAGCCATAATGTTAAATATTTAACTGAGAATATTAAATAGTTTTTTATTACATACCGCTTACCTGTGTTCGCCACTCAACAACAGTTTACGCTGTGTAGTTCGGTAGATGAGAGTTATGAAACATGGAGTCTGCATGAAGCTGGAGGTTTATTCTATGATGAGAAGTACAACTCAGCACTAGACATGGTTGTGATTATCCTCGGATATGACACAGACCAGGACAATATGATACTGCAAACAGTCCAAGGTATTGGCAATGTTACTTGCTTAGCAATTATTTATTTTATTTTCTTAACTAATTCCTTTTCCCTTAAAATATTTGTCGCTGTCCAGAAAGCAAAAACATGTAGAAAGATAGATTTGAACCAGTTAGCAAAGTGAGCCTTTGTGTGGTTACCGTGAAACATATCACTTCAACATAAGTCTTTATGTTATTTTCTTGTCTACCAAGAAGAAAACAGTTGCTTTATGGATTTGAATTCGCATTTATGTTTTTTCTCTGGCAGTTGGTACGTTTGACAAGATGCTTGTTTATTTCAGACAACTTTTCCAGTATAGGAGTATTACTGTAGTATCACTTTCATTTGTTTCATAATTCTTTTATGTCGTTTGAGACAGTTTTGCTACTAAAGTGTCTTAATATTGTTCACTTTTCTCAGGTTTACAATTTTAACTTATCATGCAAGTAAACATTAATGATATTACCAAGAGAAATTAAAACTACAAAAACCCTGAATATGAAATATGATAACACCTTAAACGCAAACACAAGAAACATGTAGTCTAATTAATCCAAGATAGAAGTTCTGAGTTACAATTTAATATTTTTCAGCATTGTTGAGCCGAAAACTTCATGAAAAATACAACATCGTAGCGGTTGACCTTCCACAACAATTTTCATTCAATGTTAAGAACTTTTTCTACATCAGGCCAGCAATTAATGTACAGGTAAGGTAACTTTATATTGTTGAGTCACAGAGTCAGTAAAATAATGATACCTATTTATATAAATCTATTTTATTGAACATCTCAAATGGAGAGGGTTTATCAAAATATGGTTACAAAGTCCTGTGTGAAAACTAGCAGCATTCAACTTGGGTGGTTTATCTTTAAAAAGCACTGAGTGGTTAAGTGGATGTAGTTGAATCAGTTTATGAAAATTGTGTGTGATGCCTTTTGTATCTAATCACTCAATTTGTATAGGTATCTAAGTGATTAACCACTCTGCTTACCAACATAATAAAAATACCCCCGCCGCAGCAAACCTGCCGACTAAGCGAATTTCCATTTGTCTGAATTGATTTTCAGTTAAATATATTTTAATAACATTAGGTTTAACGAGTACCTAGGTTTGCTGCTACAAGGAAACTAATAAAGTGTGTTTTTGAGTAAAATGTTGATAGCTTAGTACAAAATAAATAAATTTGCCAAGTTTGATCAAAATATATTCATAAACAAGCAAACTACAACATTTGACAATATTCTCCATAAGAATAACATGGGAATTTTAAATTTACAATTTTTTTAATTTTCTCCGTTACTAATAATCGAACAAAAATACTTTTATATACTAAATTATTTGTTTTTTTAAGCTCTTTAAAAAGGTCTAAAGATAAATTAGGAAATTTTGTGTTTTGAGGGTCAAAAGTGAGAAAAACCAATTTTTACCCCATAAAACCCCCCGTAAAGCCCCGTTCCCATGGTCCGATCGTGCTGGTTCGCGAACTCATTCAAGTTTATCCTGCTTTACACCTTTAAACCAAGTTTCATCAAAATCGGACAAAAATTACTCTAGTTATCGCGTTCACGGACGTATATATATATATATACTAGCTGTACCCGCGGGCTTTGCCCCGTTTAACTTCATATGTGAGCTCGTTCGCATGGCTCAATCACGTCCTGGTTGAAGTTCGTTCGCTACGCTCACTCACCTTTAGGTTGGAGCTCGTTCGCTGTGCTCACACGTCCGGTTGAAGTTCATTCGCTACGCTCACTCACCTTTACGGTTGGAGCTCGTTCGCTGCGCTCACTTGCCTTCAGGTTAGCTCGTTCGCTACGCTAACTCGCCTCCGGGTTGAAGTTCGTTCGCTGCGCTCACTCATCTTTTGGTTGCAAATTAGCTGTTGTCATAATTTAAAAAAAATAATAGTGCTGCACTCTGTTGGTAATCCTAGTAACTTTAATGCTATTGAACATCACAGAACAGAACCAACTTGTTTAATTGAAACAGCTGTTATGATTCATTAATTCCATTTAAATATGAGTACTCATTAGGTTAACATGGGAAACTCCAGAGCCACTGGGGCGGAGCCCGAGAGTCCGATCAGGATAAAAACCACTCAGTTTTCCTATTTAATGCCTAAAGAATCAGTGTACCAAATTTCAGCCTCCTAGGTAAGTGGGAAGTGGGAGAATTAGTGATGAGTGAGTCAGTCAGTCAGTGAGGGCTTTGCCTTTTATATATATAGATAAGTCTATATATATATATATATATATATATATATACATATATAAAAATTTGAACGAATAGTGTTTTTGGCCTCTGGGGACATCAAAATGAAAAAGTAAATCGGTCCCGGGTCTAGGTCTTACCGTGCCACCTACGGTAATAGCTACTTCCCTATGGGGAAATTCGCTAATACATTTCCACAGTAGTATTCGCTATAAAACCAGTTTTATTTACAAAGATTTTCCTCAACATGTCACTGTTTTAAACAAGGTATTAAAAAGATTTCCATGTTATTGCTATGGACATAAGAATAAATGTTCTTAAGCTGTTCATAAGAACAAATGTTTGATGTAGGCCTATTCAATCTTTAAAGTAATCTTGCATTGTATATTTCTTACAAAGGATAATATTTTTATTTCCATAAAATTCAAACCATTATAAAATATTATTAGATGAATAAAATACAGTATCTGCAAATGTTGTTCCCCCTAAGGAAAATGCTGTGCATTGAATGAACAATACATTAATAAATAAATAGAATATATATTTGACTATATAAAGAATATTGTTTTAGAAGATACTCCATTGCTAACTGTGTTTTTTAGCTGGAGGCAGTTGTTTAAACATAAACATTGTTCAATTATTGACCATTGACACAGGGTACTGTTGAAAAGTGAGTTGTTCTTCCTACACACCATTTTTTAATTATGAATAACTAAAAGTACAATCCATTGTAAATCATATAATCTTGTACGTACCCTCTCAACTATACTTCAATTAGTAATTGCATTCCCCCGTTTTATTTTTTTATAATTGACATTACTTCTGTAAATTTTGTTGACTTTTAAGTTTTGGTAAGTTTTCTAAGTTTTTTTTGTATTTTGCACCAAAAGTAGGCCCACCAAGGCGCGGACCCTGTGCGGCCGTTCCTTTCGCACATGCCTAAGGCCGGCTCTGCTTTCGGAAGGTTCAAAACCGGACCGAGCTGCTCTCTTGATCTTCTGGGCTTTTAATAAGTGATCCTCGTAAAAAAAACTGCAGGTCTTAATGAGAAAAGCTACATAAGACATCTACATCTATTCTACACTTACCCTTACCTATACTCTAATATGTATGTATGCTTGCACAAAGATCTCGAAAACAGCTTCGACGATCTCCTTCAAATGTTGTAAATGATTAATTTCTTGTTTAATGAAGTTAAAACTTCCAACAAAAATCTAATTACGTAAAAAAATGAAATTGAAAGTCAAAACTTTTTAATATTGGGCTTATGGTTTGCTAAGTAACCATGTTGGTTGAACAAAATAACAAGGAAAAAGTAAACAAAAGCTTTATTGTAAGTTGTAGCATGTGTTCATAACCACAGTTATAGCTTATTACAAAATACAGTACAAAAGGGAAAATATCAGTTGTTACTACTTACTATTGAGCAAAAGATTACACTGAATATAACTCAATATAGGTGAAAATAGTTCCAAGTACTGATTATTTAACTTGGCTCTCTCCTACTAAAACTTAATCCCCAAAGTAATCAGCTGTTTTAATTTAAACAAAATGTCAAATCAATGTTTATGCAAGTATTATAAATGAGCATTATAAATTTTAATAAGTGATCCTCGTAAAAAAAACTGCAGGTCTTAATGAGAAAAGCTACATAAGACATCTACATCTATTCTACACTTACCCTTACCTATACTCTAATATGTATGTATGCTTGCACAAAGATCTCGAAAACAGCTTCGACGATCTCCTTCAAATGTTGTAAATGATTAATTTCTTGTTTAATGAAGTTAAAACTTCCAACAAAAATCTAATTACGTAAAAAAATGAAATTGAAAGTCAAAACTTTTTAATATTGGGCTTATGGTTTGCTAAGTAACCATGTTGGTTGAACAAAATAACAAGGAAAAAGTAAACAAAAGCTTTATTGTAAGTTGTAGCATGTGTTCATAACCACAGTTATAGCTTATTACAAAATACAGTACAAAAGGGAAAATATCAGTTGTTACTACTTACTATTGAGCAAAAGATTACACTGAATATAACTCAATATAGGTGAAAATAGTTCCAAGTACTGATTATTTAACTTGGCTCTCTCCTACTAAAACTTAATCCCCAAAGTAATCAGCTGTTTTAATTTAAACAAAATGTCAAATCAATGTTTATGCAAGTATTATAAATGAGCGACCTTTCATTGACTGTAAAATACATTAATGTCTTGAGGATTGCCAGGTTAAAATTTCCATCATAATAAATTATTGAAATACACTGAAACTTAAATAATAAAGGCCAAAATTAGTTGTAAATAAAACGTGAGTTTCCTTTATATTGCTTTTACAATCAAAATAAACTACACTGAGCCATGGCTCGATCCCCAGGTACTTTATTCATATTTGGGTTAAAATACACCCAACAGCAGGGGAATTTTGGGTGATAATAATGTATACTATTTAGAATCAAACAAGAAAATATAAATTAAACTGCATCACATCTTTTGAGAGGCTGACGTCCTCAATCAGTGAAAAACCAACTACTGGTCCATGTATAAATTATATCTATTTCAGCATATCCAAAGCAAAAGGAAAACTATAATTATTTTACAAATTGGAATGTTTAGTCAGTAGGAGAAGCTCTGGGAGATTTCATAAATGCTGCGTGTGACGCTGGCTTCATCACTCCAGCTAAGATAAATGTGGTTGGATTCAGCCTCGGAGCTCAGATAGCTGGATACTTGGGACGTAGGGTCAACGGACTAATCCAATCCATCACAGGTAATGGTCTTGGATTTAAAAACTTAAGATGGTGATGATGTAATAAAAATCCATATTATATAAAGCCCAAACTACCCATGAACTTTTGAAAAAACTAAAAGTCACACTCACATAAAGCATACGGTATACTTAAAATTTTCATCATGACGAGAAACATTGCGCAAAACTATTCATTATTCCATACATTGCCCGAAGGTCGTAATTGCTTTCCAAAAGGAACTTTTTATATACCTAAGGTTAAAAATACCTCATCTGTACTTATTTGTTTGTTATTCTTTCAATTTATTAGGTACCTTATTAAAATCAGGTGTGATTATTTGTTTGTATTTTGTTTTGTTTATTTCAGCTTAACTTAACCAATCAATAATTTTTTTTAATACTTATGGAGTCAAACGGGGTGAAGCCCGTGGGTAAGAGCTAGTTAAAAATAATTAAGGATTTCATAACTCACAAATAATTTATAATAGGGGTATGATAAAAGAGAGGGTCGAGGGAATAAAATTGAGAAAAAAAAAGAATTTGTATCACTCAATAGGTTGTAAGTTTACCTATAGAGAAATATGCATCCAATTCATTCATTAAAACTGTGCCCAGTTTTGGATTGAAAATTACATATTGTCGTTTATGTACAATTAAATATTCTGTTTCAATAGGGTAATTTTAGTTATTAATTTTTATTATACAGTGCTTAACTGCAGTAGTTTACATTTTTGATTGGACAAGTAGTTCCCAATTTTACAAAATATTACATGTTAAATATAGCAAATTGATGGATCCCATACAAAATAAAACATAGGTAAAGCTTGCTAATCCACCGCGTTCTGGAACTTTTGACACAAATTCTGGATAGCTGAACCTTCAAAAACAGCAGTTATTGCATGACTAGAAAAATACGTTAATTTCAGAGTGTCAAAAAGGAAAACATTGGTGAATGGGCCAGTATTCTGTTTTTTATTGTGCTTTCTCCTAATTTAGTAGCAGACCTATTATAAAATAATTAGAAAAATATGTTTTTTAAATGCCCCTTAGTGCAGTTGTCTGCCTTTCCTATCTGATCTTTACCAGTTTATACATCTTTATCACTTCAACTCTTCAGTATTCGGTAACCAGGAACTATCAGATGTTTACTGTAATGCTGTTGTTTCTACAGGTGTTGATCCATCAGGTATCGGGTTTGACTGGAGTAGTCCAGTGACAGGTCTGGCCCATGTGTCCAGTGAAGACGCTCAGTTTGTACATATCTATCACTCCAACTCTGCAGTTTTCGGTACCCAGGAACTATCAGATGTTTACTGTAATGCTGTTGTTTCTACAGGTGTTGATCCATCAGGTATCAGGTTTGACTGGAGTAGTCCAGTGACAGGTCTGGCCCATGTGTCCAGTGAAGACGCTCAGTTTGTACATCTTTATCACTCCAACTCTGCAGTTTTCGGTACCCAGGAACTATCAGATGTTTACTGTAATGCTGTTGTTTCTACAGGTGTTGATCCATCAGGTATCGGGTTTGACTGGAGTAGTCCAGTGACAGGTCTGGCCCATGTGTCCAGTGAAGACTCTCAGTTTGTACATCTTTATCACTCCAACTCTGCAGTTTTCGGTACCCAGGAACTATCAGATGTTTACTGTAATGCTGTTGTTTCTACAGGTGTTGATCCATCAGGTATCGGGTTTGACTGGAGTAGTCCAGTGACAGGTCTGGCCCATGTGTCCAGTGAAGACGCTCAGTTTGTACATGTCTATCACTCCAACTCTGCAGTTTTCGGTAACCAGGAACTATCAGATGTTTACTGTAATGCTGTTGTTTCTACAGGTGTTGATCCATCAGGTATCGGGTTTGACTGGAGTAGTCCAGTGACAGGTCTGGCCCATGTGTCCAGTGGAGACACTCAGTTTGTACATCTCTATCACTCCAACTCTGCAGTTTTCGGTACCCAGGAACTATCAGATGTTTACTGTAATGCTGTTGTTTCTACAGGTGTTGATCCATCAGGTATCGGGTTTGACTGGAGTAGTCCAGTGACAGGTCTGGCCCATGTGTCCAGTGAAGACGCTCAGTTTGTACATCTCTATCACTCCAACTCTGCAGTTTTCGGTAACCAGGAACTATCAGATGTTTACTGTAATGCTGTTGTTTCTACAGGTGTTGATCCATCAGGTATCGGGTTTGACTGGAGTAGTCCAGTGACAGGTCTGGCCCATGTGTCCAGTGAAGACGCTCAGTTTGTACATCTCTATCACTCCAACTCTGCAGTTTTCGGTACCCAGGAACTATCAGATGTTTACTGTAATGCTGTTGTTTCTACAGGTGTTGATCCATCAGGTATCGGGTTTGACTGGAGTAGTCCAGTGACAGGTCTGGCCCATGTGTCCAGTGAAGACGCTCAGTTTGTACATCTCTATCACTCCAACTCTGCAGTTTTCGGTACCCAGGAACTATCAGATGTTTACTGTAATGCTGTTGTTTCTACAGGTGTTGATCCATCAGGTATCGGGTTTGACTGGAGTAGTCCAGTGACAGGTCTGGCCCATGTGTCCAGTGAAGACGCTCAGTTTGTACATCTTTATCACTCCAACTCTGCAGTTTTCGGTACCCAGAAACGCCTTGGCACAGCAGATTACATGTTCAACACGGGAGAGACACAACCTGGGTGTAATAGTCTACTTGGTGAGTTCAATCTTATTCACAGGTTTTAAAAATTAATGGTTTATCTATGTAGTTTGATTAGTGAATTTCCTCACAGTAATATCCGGGTATCCTCATGGTAAGACCCAGATCCAGGACCAATTAAATTTTTCATTTTGATGTCCCCTGAGGGGAAAAAAAGCTATTCGTAAAAATGTGTATATCAGTGAAGACAATATAACTCGAGTAATTTTGATGAAATTTGGCAAAAACTTGAATGAGTTCGCAAACCCAAAGGGGATCATGGGAACAAGGTCTTATAGATTTATAAAATAATAAAAAATCATATTTTTACATTAAAAAACATAAAAATGCTAAATAATTTTAGTTTCAGTTAAGTTATTGATGCGTAGAGCTGAAAAAACAAACAATTTTGTATATTTAAGCATTGTTATAGGATTGAGGGTTATGGAGAAAATTAAAAAAAAAAAAAACTGTGCGCTTAGTTCCCATGTCATTCTTAAGGGGGAAAAACAGTTGTAGTTAGCTTTTTTATGGATATATTTTGACCAAATTTGGCACATTAATTCATATTATCCGGTACTATTAACATTTGATCAATAAATACTCTTTCCCTACCCCGTAGTAGCAAACTTAAGTACTCACTAAATCAGATTCTATCCAAATGGGGAATAAATCTGACAAGCTTAATGAAATATTTTAGTAAAAATCTTAACAGTCAAATGGAAATTCGCTTAGACTGAAGGTTTGCTGTGGCGGGGGTATTTTGTTGCTGTGTTCTTGAGCTAAAGTTAGTGGATTGTATTTCCAGACCCATTCTGTAGTCATATGCGAGGCTTTTACTACTACGTAGAGGCTCTCCGTATCACTCCAGGACTTCCAGCTCTGCAGTGTAACAATCACAGCCATCTAGATCATTGCAAGTGCCAAGGACACAAACTCTCCTATGTAGGCTTCCCTCCCGATATTAGGTGAGTTATATCATAGACATAAAGAATTAAATAAAGACCAACATCAGTGCTCCGATTATTATATGTTCTGGCGTCCACCGCTCGCATTGCCGTGTAGTTACACAGCTGCAGCGCAAGTTTGGTAGTACTTAGTACTGGTAGCAGAAGGAAAGGAGCTGACGACGGCAGCAAATTGAACACTGCTGAGCACGCTCTAGCGTCACATCGCAGAACCTTCCTTTGACAGTCTGTATTTATTCTATTTGTCTATGGTTATACTATCATGTGTTTATATTACAGCTGTCTAGTCTACATGTATGAATTGAGAAACAAATTAATTTAAATTTTTACCTAACCCGCCATGTTAAAATTCCCTATCCCAAGCGTGATGTATACAACTTCTTTACTTCTCGAGTGATGTAAAGTTGAAAAAAACTCACTCGGTGATGTAATGAAACCCATTTAAATAACATTGAGTGCTTAACTTAAAAAAATATACCTCTATGGAGGCATCGGCGTTCAACGCTAGAAATCAGCTGTGTGCTTGAATGTTATTGTTATGCTTTAAAGTATTTTCAGTGGTATTTTCCTAACCTAGCTTTTGTTTGTAAAAGAACGTTACTGTTAGACGATGAGTGAAATGGATAATGAAAAATATTGTACGTAAACCCGTGTATATTGTCGGGTCAGGTAAAATCTTGTACGTTACACGTTGCGCAAGAGCGTGTTTACATCTCTTAGGTGAATTATGCAACTCGCTTCCGCTCGTTGCACAACGTTCACCTGCGTGATGTAAAAACGCTCCCCTAGTAGCACAAATATGTATTATATAAATATTTTACATATTTAAAGTTGTATTTTATAGAACCTCGAATAAAATATATAAATAATATATCTTTAATAATAGTTTGATATATTCAAATATATATTTTAAATATTACCAAAAAGCAATGCAAAATATAAATTAAATATAAGTTTTGAATATATAAAATAGATTCATAATATATATTGATAAAATAAGAATAGAATCTATAATATACATATTTTATATGTATATTTTTCCTATTAAATATAAAAAAAATATGTGTTGAGAATATTTTAAATATATATATAAAATATTTTTGAAACTATATTATATATTTAAAGTATTTATAAACATATTTTGAAACACGTCATATATTTTTTATAATAAAATAATGATATATTTGTAGAATACATAGCCTATAATCTATTATAATTAGCAAATAAATAATTGGCATCTTTTTGTTTTTTATAGTGTCTATCAATTTATACATGCATTTTTTGTATAATAATTGCTATTGTGAAAGGGTTAAAATTAAGTATATAATAATACAAACTCTGAATGGTGTCACTCTATCATGCACGTAAAGAAAAAATTACGCATATAGTTAAGAGGCAGTATACCTACATGTTCGACAGCTACATGTGGGACAAACGAAAAAAAGTGTTGATGGGTTTTATTTTTTTAATTGCAATATGTGTCAATGAATGTGATCATAGAAATCTCGAATGATTGGCTAGGAAAGGGTGCTAGTGACTGGCGACCTTTTAAGAAACTAATTACGGTTGTATATGACGTTCTAAGAATAATTATTTGATTTACATGCCATAAATTACATAATATTTGTCATAGTATTTAAATTAGTTTTTGTAGTTTACTGTATTTGTAATCGTGGAGACTACTCACTATTCACTACAGCACTATTTAACTCAACTACTTGATGCCAAAACAGATTAACAGAATCGTATTATACTGTAGTACCGGTATCAAAAATATATCAAGTATTGCAACCATTGCAACTGACGGCCACCCTTTTATCATTTGAAAACTCATATTAACAGTCACAAATAGCTCAGAGGTAAGGTAAGAGGCTCATAAGGAGAAGGACCCAGGTTCGAAACCCGTCCGCGCCGAAAAAATTTTATCCAGTAAATTTTTCAAAATTTGTTTTTGTGAACTATTTAATCAATTTACTCAACTGATAATTGTGCTTTTCATACTAAATCTTTATTATTTTGTGTTTTTATGTTTTATAGGCCCCATGGGATGTTTGGAAGTAATATTAAATACATTTTTTATTTAAATATTATTCACTAAAATATATTATTGGAACATATTTTTTAAATATTTAATAGATTCAAATCATATTTTTTATACATTTAATATATTTTAAATATTATATAAAATTGACATTAATACACACTTGAGATATATAAAATAGATTTTAAATATATTTATTCATATGTATTTAATATATATTTGTGCTACTAGGGTCCTTACTACACTTGTAATGTAAATAGCTATTACTGTGTAGGTACTACAAATACACCTACACTTCATTATCAACAATACTTTGTACAAACCCTGGTGGATTAAACAAACAATGCATGCTATAAATCTGTTAACTTCCCCTTAATAATCATCCTGGTACATAATTAAATACAGTTTTCGCTGCACTACTGTGAAATCACCTTTTTTCATTATATATTTATTTATCACCTGCTAAATTCATCATTACTTTGTTTACTACACAATAAGAATAATTACTATCTTTTTGGGATTTTACCGACCTAAACAAACAAACATTTGTTATGGTTTCATCAATTGATTCAATTTGCAACAATGAAAACTGTACAATCAATGCAAATTTGAACTATAAATATAAGGCATAGGCTAAAAGATGCTATTATAGGTCAGCCGCTTTAGAAAGCGACCTGGGCACTAATGCTAACCAATGCTATACCAACCAACTGCTTTCTAAGCGGCCGACCTATAGTTTTTAAATGTTCCTAACTGTAATCAATAAATATTCCAATGTCTATTTTAAATTTTAAAATAATTTGTCTTTGTAGTGTAGCGAAAAGTAACATTCAAAACATAAATTAAATAAGTTTGTCTTTACATGTTCTCGACCATTTAAAGTGCTTGATAAATCTTGCATTTCAAACATGGTCTCAAATATGTAATGACCTGTTTTCGTTATATGTTTATCACCTGGGAAAATTCATCTTTACATAGCTTACTACACAAAAAGAATGTTTACTTTGCAAAAATAATGCTTACTAACTTTTTTTTATTTGCCGACATAAACAAACAAACATTTCTTATGGTTTAATCAACTATTTCAATTTGCAACAACCAAAACTGTACAATAAATGCAAATTTGAACTATTAATAGAAGGCATAACAAAGTTTAACACAAAAAATTCTATTAGGTAGTTTTTAAATGTTCCTAAATGTAATAATGAAAATGCCCATGTCTATTTGAAATGTTAAAATAATTAGTTTTTGTAGTATAGCAAACTGAAAAGTAAACGTTGAAAACACAAGTGAAAGTGTTTTGTGTACCAAGAACAAATTTAAAGTGCTCAATTTATAATGACTCACTTTCTACTCTTGTTATAAAATACACTAATTTGAAAACAACCAATGTACTACACATCCCACATTTTGTAAAAGTCACTCAGATGGAATGGAATTCCTCTTTATAAGCTTAGAGGATTTGATATCACTGCATGTTTCATTGTCTGTTACATGAATCGCTGTTAAGTGCTGTTAAAGTGCTCAAAATGGCATTTTTCTCTGTTGAATTGGAAATATATTTCAACATTTTTGTTTGATTTAATTTATTTTTTGTAACCTTGGTACATGAATGACTTCAATGATAGCAATATGAAACCAAATAACACTTAAATATGTTTTACAGTTTACTTATTTACAAAAAAATTGTGTTGTTTATTGTTTCTCACCAGTTAAATACCGTATCCCAGATAGCAGAGAAAGCTTTCAGTTAGTTCATAATAAACTTTCAGAGGCAACCCAAGATGGTTGCAGCAACTATGCATTGCAAACATTTTAATTTGTAACACGTTTGCTGCAAGTATAAAAGTAACCCCATCTCAGACTTTCTGAAAAGTTTCACCGTGTGTTTGAAGCAAGGTTGCAAGGAATAGTTGCGAACCACTTGCAGGGAATGATTGCAGATGACTTGCAAAGATACCGTGCTGCAAACATACAATGGATGTTTTTATCAGGCTACCAAAGAATGCTTGTTAAACACTTGCATTGAATGAATGCAGATGACTTGCAAAGATATCTTGCTGCAAACATGCACTGAATGTTTTACTCAAGCTAGCAAAGAATGCTTGTAAAACACGTGCAGGGAATGAATGCAGATTACTTGCAAAGAAATCTTGCTCCAATGATGCACTGCATGTTTTTCTCGAGTTAGCAAAGAATGCTTGTAAAACACTTGCAAGTAATCTTTGTACATGACTTGCAAAGAGTACTTGCTGCAATTATGCTCTGGGTTTATTTCTCAGATTAGAAAATAATGTTAGTCAAACATTTACAGGGAATCCTTCTGCTTCGCATTTGCTTTTCAATGACATGTACGAAGATGAATTGCAAAGATAATTTACTGTAAATATGCACTGAATGTTGAATATAAATATGAAAAGAATGTTTGTTAGATAATTACAGGAAATCTTTGTAGCTGATTTGCTAACTGCTACCAATGTGCACTAAATCTCATTGTTGAATTTAGCAAAGAATTCTTCTTGTGAATGTATCAAATATCTTCAACCTTAGCTAAATTTAATCATCATAATTTTTTTCTATAAATGTAATAGCAAAAATTTAGTTTTCAAAAGTTGTTGACTAGTATCTTATTAATTATTTTATTATTATATTAAAAGAAAAAATACATTTTACATAAGCCAAAATTTGTTTAAGACAGCAGAAAATATTAAAATAAGCATTCTTTTATCATAAAAAGTTTATTTAAGAATTCAAAAGCTATAATTTCTTCTCAAAATAGTCTTAACAACATAACATGTAGAATACAATTATAAAACAGAGAAAATTAATTAACCGAGGTTGAGCTAAGAGTGTATACTTGGAGCTGTTTACTCTTAAAATACAATACAAGTTTGTATAAATATGGGTACTAAAATCGTTGGTTATTAGTTGTAGAAACCATTTTAGTAGAGTGTTTTTA